CATAACCCGTTCTGTAGTTTTTGCGTGATTTAGTAACAAGCATAAAAATTTACAAATATTCATGCGAAATTTCATATATTATATAATATTATCAGTATGGATACATTTTATGATACTAAGATATACCAACCCATAAAATTTATTACATTTTAGTTTAATGTAGCCTATGTTAGCGTATAACTTTATTAAAACTTTCTATCAAATGGTTTACGTCTAAAAGACATTTCTGTTTATAACTGAGATCATATTGATAACCGTTTTGTTAACCTTACCCATTTAAGATAATTAAAAGTGTATGATTTCAGTTGGCTTTCAATTAGTTATCTAATTGAACTTTGATAACAAATTCTCAGGTAGCCATTTCTTGTTCTTATTTTTCTTCATCAGTCTTTGAAAGTCCACTGCTAGATATTGGCTCTCCGTTTGTGGAAAGGATAAGCCTAAATCTTCACGCTAGGCAAACAAATTAATATACGTAGTTCAAAGAATCGACAACTAATAGAGGAGAAAAGTTCTCGAGCGGTACCCTTTACCGGAAGCGGAATGTAGGTGGCCCCCCTTCACATGGAGTGACGACCTGATAAGAGCTGCGGGAAGTCGATCGATATAATGATGATGATGATGATGCTGATGATTTAAAATAGTCTTAAAAAAGTGAATAAGTATAAAACTTCTTTTTTAAAAGTGAAATGAGAATTACTGCGCTCTTTAAATGCGTTTCTATCGAAAGTTCTTAAGCTGAGATCAATTGTTATAGCTGAGTGCACTTCAGGCAACTTTCTTTTAAACGAGTGCAATTTTTAATGTTCCAAAGGCAAACTCTCAAGCGATAAATATCTAAAAGAATTTATTTTTTGTAAGAAATATTATTTTTTATCATAATAGAATACCTCGTCCAAGTAGGAATAAAAGTTTGATATCTAATATTTAAATGAAACTAGTTTTTACATATATTATCGCGTATTAAAATTATTGTTATATTATAAGTTAACGTACGCGATAAAATCTGTAATAAATAGTTTTATTTAAATGTGTAGTATTCGTGTTAACATATGAAATCATTTTTGTAGTATCTTTTCTTACTTGCTAGAGGTTGATAATAATCATTACAAAACATTTCAAAGAAAGCTTTAATTTTGCATCATATTAGCGATATTCGAATGTTACTGATTTACTCATTTGTTTTAAATTAATGCTAAATAACGAATATATGAGCTGTCTTTCAAAATCTAAATTGAGCTTCATAATTTCTCTGACATATTTCTGTGTGGATAATGCATCAACATAATTGCATTAAACCATCCATAGCTAATAGCAATTTGCGTGTGTAAGCACTTCGAAGTGACTCGTAGAACGTTTCATAAGCTCATTTTGAGAGTTAGTTTCAGTCTTCCTAATAGAATTATATAACTGTATTTTTCTAATTGTAATGGTATTAGCAATCAAATTCTGGTTCTTTAAATCTAAAAGAGACTCTAATTCATCTTATACAATAAAAATACAAAAATTAATTAAGATACGTTAAAAAGTTTTAATACTATACTAGAGACTGTAGAGACACCGCTGCGTTTTGGAAAACTTAACATCTTAGAATATTTTCAAATTATCAGACGTGCGTTTTTCCTCACGTTTTTCGATGTAAAACTTGCAGACGAAAGTGATATTTATTAAGAAGCTATATTGACAAAAATATGGAAGGTTTGTCAGTAATAAGGTTATTTGGCACTTGTTAAAAACCGAAGACCTTCTTTACTAGTAAAAAATTCATTCCATCTTAGTCCACATATGATGGTAGTTTCTGAATAGATGATTGTAGGTGCCTATGAAGCAGGGAATCTACATATATTTACTATCAGGCGGAGTGTGCTTACTTTAATATATATATATATATATATATATATATATATATATATATATATATATATATATATCATTGAATGAAGAGGTGTTTAACGGGTGAAGTAAAATATTTTAAGTAAACCAGTTTTATTGTAAAAAATATCTCTTCGACGTGAATTCTAATTTGAGAAGATCATTGGAGCAATCGAGACGGACTCTTCCGCCGCCAAAAACTCTCTCGGAAATAAAAGCAAACCCCATACTCAGCGTCAGGGCTTATGAAGATTTTTATTTGATTTCTTCAAGTTGGATAATAGATTTAAAAACAAATACAGTTTATTTTTTCAAAATCTATTTGAGCACATACATTTCATGCAAATTTGATCAAAAACAATATACAAACAGTTTATTGATGATATCTCCGTGTTGGTTTATACATACATAATACATACATAAACACTCACGCCTGTCACCCAGAGGGGTAGGCAGAGACTACGGACTTCCATTTGGCGCGATCCTGACACACCTCTCTCGCCTCTTTTACATCCCATCCATTATCCCCCTTTGGTTAAAACTAAGTAATCTAGACAAATTAATTTATCACACTAATTTTGAACTAAACAAATTATGATTTAAACGATACTATTCTGTACACTTTGTTGATAAGGTTTAAAATGTAAATCTTGTTAATTGTTTTAAGTTTGCTGTTAGGTCTGTAATTTTGTAAGCAAATTTCGAAGTCAGACTCTTAAATGACGATCAGTTATTTAGTTAGGTATTCGAAACTTTGAACTTTACAGACGAAATATAAAGTCTTTGACGACATAATGCTTAGCTTTTCGGTCAATGTATCTGGCTCATCATTAAATAATACGAGATTATAGAAGGATTTCGAAATCTAAGTGAAGTATGGATGAAATTCATATAAAAAGCTGAGAAACTTTTTTATTTTCTGCCGACTTCCAAAACGGAGACGGTAGTCAATTCGACTGTATTTTTTATTGTTTTTTTATGTGTTACCTCCTAACTTTTTACTGGGTGAACCGATTTCGATGATTCTTTTGTTTCTGAAAGCTGGTACTTCTGGTGTAGTCCCATATGAATTTGACCAAGCCAGGCCAATAGTTTTTTGAGTTATTCTTAATAACTTATATTTAAGTCGGCTGTACAAAAATTTAATTTTTAAATTTTATAATTATTAGTTATTACGATACATTTACTTGTTGCAACGAACGTCCAATATCTAGCATAGCATTGAATTTTTATAGACGACACTTTTTTTATTTAATAAGGATGACAAACGAGTACACAGCCCACCACGAGGTATTTGATTTTAATTCTCACAGGTGAAAATGCATCTGCATTTTAATACTTAATCGAGGATAGATGTAGATATCTCAAAAATACAGACTCGAAAAATACGGGCTTTGTAGACTTCGAACGTATCGGTCGAGTTCACTCCCGTCACTCCACACTCTTAGCTCATGCACAAAATTAGTTATTTTTCCTTATACACCGTCTCACTTGATGCTCTGTGATTGGTTGCTGCCTTGGTTTTCTCACTGTGGTGCAGGAAGCACGTTGTCGAGGGAGACAGCAGTCTCACTGTGTTGTTGTGAAGTGTATCGGACGCTTGTTGTGGTGCAAAGTGTGTTTGTGCGTAACTCTCCTTCCTGGCTTCCTAGGTAATGGTATCGGCAAACATAAGTAGAGTGAAATACACCCGCTGCCTTAGAGGCGGCCAACGTTTATAATTTTTGTGTTGCTTGTTGCACTAGGCAACAGCTAGGTACACACACTAGCGTACCTACGCGCATTCTAAACGTGTTCGTTTTATGCACTTACCTCCCCCGCCGAAATGTGGGGGAGCTTGGTACACATTTGTGCTTGTGTTAGCATAGTAAACAAGATGGCGTCGTTTACAACCGACGAACTAGCCGAAGTTTTAGCTGAGCCTGATCCGACATCTGAACTGTGTTTATTGCACAGCGCAATGCCCGTCCCGTGTCCGAGCCCACGCTTGAGTCCAAGCCTCTATCCGGCCCATCCAGCCAACGTGTTTGACCACCTATCGATCGTCACCGAGCACAGAACGATCGACGAACCTCTGTCACCGAGCACAGAACCTACAAACCCTGTGTGCATAGACATAATTTACGACGCCAAGTCCTCTGCCCCCTCCCCGATGTCCACCCGCGGGCCCTCTCCGGTTTTCTCGGATGCCGAATTAGGCTCCGATATGGAAACAGACTCGCGTATCCCGCGCAAACCCGAAGACGAAGGCTTCACCCTCGTTCAGGACAAAAAGCGCAAACGCGCAGCCTCAAAAAAACAGCCGAGCCTAACTCAGCCCGGGCCCAAAATCTCCCGGCCCGAGACCACCAAACCGGCAGAAACGATTTTTGATCTGTGCCTTGTCATCCTGGACCTGTCTCTGGAAGGCAAGGAGATTGTTAACGTTCAGCGCATCTGCAACTTAACGGGAATTGCTGTTGAAGCCCGCCAAAATAGGGGCATCGATGTGCCAACGATACCAATTGTACGGCCACTCGGCTAAAAATTGCTACGCCAGGTTTAGGTGCGGCCATCCAACAACCCCAATTAACGACGGCCCGCGTTGGGCGCTTAGGCGCATCGACAGGGAACTACTCAAAGAAGCTGCCCTAGTTCAGTCCTGGATCTGGGAGTCGACGACGGACGGCCCCGCCGACGTCGAAGCGGTGGCGCTATGGTTTCGCGGGGCGATGACGCAGATCTGTGACGCGTCAATACCCCGTGACCGCCAACGGTCCGCAATGCGCCAGGTGTACTGGTGGACCGCCGAGATCGCGCAATTGCGCATAGCGTGCGTTGCGGCTTGTCGCCGGTACACCCGATACCGGAGGCGGCGTCGACGGGATTCCGCCGAGGAGGACGCGCTGTATGAGGTGTACCGCGCGTCTAAGGAGACTCTGTGGCTGGCCATCGGCGACTCAAAGTCGCGTGCCAGGGAGGAGCTGCTGGGGTCCCTAGATCGGGATCCGTGAGGACGCCCCTACCGTTGGATACGGGGCAAGTTGCGTCCCTAGGCGCCTCCACTAACACAAAGGATGCAACCCCAGTTGCTAGAGTCGGTGTTATATACTATCTTCCCTGAGCGAGTGGGACACGTTCCCCCGGCGATGGCTTCGCCCTCAGCCACAGACTCTCCAGAAGAGGAGAGCACCGATGTCCCCGAGGTGACGCAACCAGAGACGAGGGTGGCCGTGTCGCGACTCCGGGCTAAGAACACAGCGCCCGGACCCGACGGAGTTCCTGGTCGAGCTCTCGTCCTGGCTCTGAATGAGCTAGAGCCCCAGCTGAGAGGGCTCTTCACGGCATGTCTCGAGCAGGGTCAGTTTCCCAGTGTGTGGAAGGAGGGGAGGTTGGTCCTGCTCAGGAAGGAGGGGCGCCCCGCGGACTCACCGTCCGCGTACCGGCCCATAGTGCTGCTCGACGAGGCGGGCAAACTTTTTGAGCGTATCATCGCAGATCGCCTCGTCAGCCACTTGTGCAGAGAGGGGCCGGACCTGGATGACAACCAGTTTGGTTTTCGTCGCGGGCGCTCCACTATAGACGCTATTACGCGCGTGAGGGCCCTGACGAAGGAGACAGTATCCCGGGGTGGGGTGGTGCTGGCGGTGTCCTTAGACATCTCCAACGCTTTCAACACCCTACCCTGGAGTTGCATTCGGGAGGCGCTGAATTACCATCGCGTGCCTCCCTACCTCCGCCGCACAATAGGGGCTTACCTTGAGGAGAGATGCGTTACCTATTGGGGACGTGACGGCGCTGGTCGGCACGTCATGTCGTGCGGTGTTCCGTAGGGATCGGTCTTGGGACCGCTCCTGTGGAACATCGGCTACGACTGGGTGCTGAGAGGTGAACTCCCGTCGGGCGCCGACTTGACGTGTTATGCGGACGACACGCTCGTCACTGCCCGGGGGAGTTCGTACAGGGAAGCAGCGTTGGTTGCCACGGCTGCGGTGTCACAAGTGGTGAACCGCATCCGGCGCCTGGGCCTGGAGGTGGCCCTAAGTAAGTCGGAGGCCATGGTGTTGCATGGCCCTCGACGCGCGCCGCCGCCGGGTTCACACATCGTGGTCAGCGGGGCCCGGATAGCTGTCGAGTCCACCATGAAGTATCTGGGATTGGTGCTCGACAGCCGATGGGAATTCGGAGCCCACTTCCGGCGGCTGGCGCCGAAGCTGATGGGTGCAGCGGGCGCGCTATCAACGTTGTTTCCCAACTTGGGGGGCCCGAGCGCCGCCTGTAGGCGGTTGTACGTGGGAATCGTGCGGTCCATGGCCCTGTATGGGGCCCCTGTGTGGGCGATGGACATGACGGCCAGCACTCTCGCCATTCTGCGTAAACCGCAGAGGGCGATGGCCGTCAGAGTCGTCCGCGGGTATCGCACGATTTCCTACGAGGCGGCTTGCGTCCTGGCCGGATCCCCGCCCTGAGACCTAGAGGCGAAAGTACTCGCGTCATTATATCGATGGCGCGAGGAAGAGCGGGCACGGGGCTCGAGGCCGGTGCAGCGGCAGATCGCGCTGCGCCGAGAGGAGCTCCGTCAGGTCTTGGTGGCGGAATGGCGGCAAAGGCTTCTGCGCCCTACCGCCGGCCTCGCTACCGTCGAGGCGATCCGGCCAGTACTCGACGACTGACTCGGGAGAAGGCACGGCTCCCTGTCGTTTAAGGTCACGCAAGTGCTGTCGGGGCATGGCTGCTTCGGCAAATACCTGCGCCGCATAGACAGGGAGCCGGACGCTCGGTGCCACCACTGATTCCATTGCGGGGAGGACACGGCGCAACACACGCTCGCCGAGTGTGTAGCTTGGGAGGAGCAGCGCCGTGTCCTCACAAATAAAGTAGGAGGCGATCTGTCGCTGCCGGCCTTAGTGCGGAAGATGGTCGGTAGCGCATAGTCGTGGGATGCGGTGGTGTCTTTCTGCGAGGACGTGATGTCGCAGAAGGAAACTGCGGAACGGGAAAGGGAGATCTCGACTCCCTTCCCTGGCCGCAGAAGGCGCACCGGGCGCAGGAGAAGGGCGGAAAACGCCCTTTTCCGGCCCCCATAAATGGGTCCAGGGGCGAGGGACTTGGGGAAGCCCCCCGCCACCCCTACTCGATGGATCCGAGGCGGATGCGCGCGCGGGTGTCGGCGCGCGCCCCTGAGGCGATACACGGGGTAGTTGAACACCTCACTACCCCAAGCAGGAGACGAGGCCTGGACAGACCGGGCCAGCACTAGTGTGGGGCTGCGGAAGAATTTGGATTCCCCCGGCCCCATGCGCACGTGTGAGAAGACACCGGGGTGGTTTTAGCCGGTAAGAGTCCGGCACGCCCCTCCGCTTTTCCCCAGGCGGAGGTAGTCCATGAGGATTTCCCTCCGTAAAAAAAAGGCTTAGTTCCTAGGTGACCACGGCACCACTGACTGCCTCCGCACGCCTAAGATGGTTGAACCCCTGTGCTGCGTCAATTGCTGCGAAGAGGGACAGCCAGCGAATTATCGCGAGTGTTACAAAGCGCTGCGAAGGATGCAGCGCGGAAGACGCGTGGGTCAAGTCAGTGTGTCAAGCTCTCAGCTGCCTGCCCCCCGAACCGTCTTCGGTGCCCACTTCCAAGTATCAAATCGTCAAAAGCCGCCTCACTGTGGCTACCGTACAAGATGCTACGCCTCCCGCGCCCTCCGCATCAAAACTCAATGCTTGGGTGAAACCGCCGGCACACGTCTCCTCACGGCCAGCGCCGTCTTCCTAAGCCCCAAAACCGAAATCCATCCCACATGCCTCGTCTTCGTTCGCCGCTGACTTTTCTCTAGCCTGCAGCTACATCGGCAACATTAACGTTGCTGAATTATCCCTTTTTGGCCCGCAAACTACGCGGAGCAACTACCCCTCAAGATAAGCTCAAGGCCATGATTCAGCACATAGGGCTTAATGACGTAATCTGGTCTTTCCAGTGCGGCTAGATACCATTTGAAAAATCAACATGGCAACAACCTTTAGGGAGAACAAAACCGCACTCACTAACTGTTTAACTTGTTTAACTGAATAATGGACTTAGTTTTTGTGTAAACCCTCTAACCAAACACGCATTTGTGAACAAATTTTACATATTTTAGGACCCTTTATATATAACAAGCTTAACAAGTCACTAAAGGTATTGTACTCTTTGTGGTCCGATGGACCACAAACCAGTGTTTGTGATCCTAACTCGACTCGGACCATACACCAGTCATATTACAGCTGAGCTAGCCCACAGGTGAGGTTTTTCAGACCAAAACCATTAAATTCGAATTCAAACTCGAGTCTACGACCTCCCAACATTTAGACAAAATCCCGAACAAGATAGAGTCGCCGGAGGAGACCAATGAGGCGATTAGCGCCCTACCGGCCCACCTCATCTCTACAGTCAAAAAATGCTCTCGTGGGGTTCGTGTGTCGAGCAATCGGCACATGAAGCTTCCGAGTGATATTCAACAACTGATTAAGGACAAAAAACGCGGCCCCAAGACAGTACGATCACTATAGTACTTTAGTTTACAAATTTCGACTGTGCAACCTCCAAAACGAGGTGAAACAGCGCGTTAAAGAGTTTAGACAGGATAAGTGGGAACTCTGCTAACGGACTTCGAGCCATCACAAACTGTCTTGTGGCAGTTGATGTGAGCTCTGAAAGCAGAACAATCCTCACCTATGCCACCTCTCATCAGGGCAGGAAAATCCGATCTCGATTTTGACGACTCTGAAAAGGCCGAATAAATCGCTGACAGCTTGGAGAGCCAATGTACTCCCTCTAGCGAACCTACAGATTCCGCTCACCTTGCAGAGGTCGAAACTGAGGTCTAGCATAAGTTTGCACTACCACCTGCGGGCGACCCCCTAGAGCCTGTGATTGTCGACAAAATCAGCATACGGCCCCGACAACACTAGCAACAGGTTACTGAAATCTCTCTCCACGCAGCTAGTATGCCTCCTAGTGGGCATATTCAACAAACTTCTTTCTAGCTGCTCCTTCCCAAATGCATGGAAAGAGGCAGATGTAATAGGAATCCCGAAACCAAGGAAACTGCGCAACTTAACCTCTAGTTACAGACCAACTCTTCAGCACACTGGGGAAAGTTTACGAGCGACTCATATTGAATCGCCTTCGTAAACACGTCTTCACCAACAAACTTCTTCCAGACGAGCAGCTCGGCTTTAGACCAAAATACTCATGCTCCGACCAGTCGCTTTTCCTCGCAGAATACATTTTGATTCAACCTCTCACAAAGAAGTCACAAAACTACAATAACCGGTGCCCTCTTCCTCGATGTCGCATAAGCGTTTGACAAAGTGTGACACGACGGCTTAATTTACAAGCTTTATAAATTCAATGTGCCTGATAGGCTCATCCACAACATCAGAGCGTTTTTTGCCATTCACCATTTTCGCTGTCGAATAGAGGGTACTCGCTCTAAAAGCGTCCTCTTAAGGTTGGAGTCCCAAAGTGTTTCGTCCTCTCCCCACTACTCTTCACACACTTCACAAGTGACATCCCGAAGGAACCAGTAGTGAATACTGCGCTTTTAGCAGATGACACGGCTCTTTTCGTCGCCCATCCCAATAAAAGATACCTCACTAGGATGCTTCAAATAGCCGTCAATCGCATAGACGATTGGTTTCGCTTATGGAGAATCGAAGTGAATCCTGAGAAAAGTATAGCAATTCGCTATCAAAAAATATTCACTTTCAATCGTTATATCAGAAACTCCAAAAAAGCGTTAGGTGGGATTACCAACGGTCAAATACTTAGGGGTTGGTTACACTCGACTGGGGTATGACATTTGCAAAGCACATTCGCGATGTCTGAAACCACACAAAATTCGTCACTAGTCGCCTCCACCCAGTAGTTAACAGCAAGAGCAAAATGTCCTTAAGACACAAGCTCCACCTTTATAAAGCATTCGTAAGACTTATCATGTCTTACGCAAGCGTAGTTTTCGCACACGCGGCGCAAAGACATACAAGTTTGACCTTCAAGTCCTCCAAAATACATTCATTCGCATAGCCACTGGAACTCAGTGGTACCAGCAAAACTCCGAGATTAACAGAGCCTGTCAACTTTCAACAATCTTTGAAAACTTCAAGGAGACCGATCCCAACCCGCTAGTGATAAATGCAGCCACATACGCTTCAATTCCGAAAGCCTCCGGAGGCCCCGTAACGTTCCTATAGAACTTCCTGTTCCGCTAGATGCCAACGACCGAAATGTCGCCGGCCATTCACACATAAACGCTACTCACTCACCTAGTGCCATAAACACTGTTAGGACTACAACGGATGGGACTCAGTGGGTCCGCAGACGGGCGCGCTGCAGACCCCTCAACACCGCGTACTCACCGTACACCCTGGGTGTTTCTCATCGCCCAGAATATAGAACGATACGAGTTAGCCGTCAGAGCCGGGGCCCGTCACCCCCTGTTCGGACTGCCATTAAATAACTCATTTACGTGCACTTTAATCTGTCCTAGGAGTCGTCGTTACGCAAGTAACGACGCAGAGTAGTAAAATATTTACCCCTTTTTTAGCACGCTGCCTAAAAGAGCCGCAACCTTGGCTTCGATAGAGCTGTAAGAGCAGTATGGGCTAACAGCACAAACATCATCAGGAACCATCATTTTGAGTATCAGAAATCATTAATTTAAATTAATTAATTAATAATATCAAAGAAACCTTAACACACAATTACTGCCAATTAATTACAGCTTTAATTAATTTGTCAGTCCCCGAAACCTTTCCAGACTTCTTTATTTCTAAATAGTTTACTACTAATTATTTTA